TAAAAAAAATACAAATGTCATAAAAATAAAAATTAAATTAAATTGTCAAAAAAAAAACAACACATTCATGGGTACATCAGCAAAAAATACAAAACTATTTTTTGAACAATTGAAACGCGTGAATTCGAGCGAGAAATCCTATTGAATTCAATTGCATAGAGCCATAAAAGGAGTTTACTTTCAGATTTGGTACAACCAGTAAAAGTCAGTTTAATGGATTAATATATGAATGCTTAATTAATTAATTTAATTAAAATATTTTGGAAATGATTTGATTTCTTCACTCTTCGCACCATTAACCATTTATATATATAATGCTTATAAAGAGGTTTTTAGAACAGTAGTGAACTACAACAAAAATTCATTTTTATATTATTTTAATTAATTGAATTTTTGGCTGACCATACAGCTATTTCGAATATTGCCAAAAACCCATCATCAGTGGTCTTGAAAATAATTCTTGTATTTAATTATTCGTAAATAATTTTTTGGGACTGCAAGTACCAGAAATCGAACTCGTGCCCTGCCAGATTTGAAGCTCAGAGTCAGCACTCCTTAACCAACTGACCCAAAGCCGTAAGTGACATTTATGTTTGCACATTTTTCAGGAGTTTTATTAATTTGCTGTGAAAGTTTTATTAACAAATCCACTTGCTGTGTTTAAATTTGAACGAAATCATAAACCTGTTGTAGAATAATTGAATTAATTAATTATATTTTTTATTTTTAATTGTTAAAAATTGTTGTTTTTCAATACTGTTCTATATTCTGTGTTCTGTAGAGGCATTATTTCTTGTATGATTTATATATTCTTTCTTATGTATAGAACCTAATATTTTGTGAATATAAGTTGTAATTTAATGGCAAATTTTTCGGACGGAGAAATGCTTATATATATTTTCTGGTTATACGAGTTCTGTGTAATTGCTGTGTAATTTTAGTGGTAAAATTTTTATAAAACAATTGAAAGACACAAGGTAGTGGGCTGGCAGGGTGAAAATAGTAATTGTTGAATATTTCTACTTTTTCGCAATTCTAAACTAATTAATTGTGTAAATTAATACTTGTCTGATTTTAATGAGAGCAGAGTAATTCAATATTTTTGTGTCAGCCTTTTTAAAATCAGTATAAATTTCATGATTTTTGGTAATTATCGCTTCACTAATTCGTAAGCCAAATATTTATTAATTAAAGAAATGTTAAATGATACCTGAAATATTTTTACTGTCTAATTAGAGTATCGATGGTAATAAAATTTAATTGATGTTAAATGAATTTGTTTCATAAAAATAAAATTATATGGGAAAAAAAATTGAAACGTAAATTTAAGAGTTTCTCTATGTAAATAAATTTAAATATATTATTTGCAAAAGTAATTTGAACCTAAAAAGTAAACACTAACAAAAATATATTATTATTGTATTAAAAATAATTTATTCAATCTGCATTGTTTATTCCAGTAGTCTCCGTTCAATGCCATGCATTTATACCAGTCCTATAAGTAGGCATATTCTGTTCGGGTTATTTTATTTACAATACATTAGTTCCAATAGTTTGTAAGTTCTTGAGTTTTCCACATTTCTTACATATTGGTGTAGCTATACAGTCAGCGCTAACTCAGGATCATATATTTCGCGAAAATATTGTTGTTTCCTGGAAACTTGCTTTTCTTTTTTACAAATAGACTGATGATACTAACTATTACCTACTAGTCTTACTTACAGCTTTATAGGTTGTTGGTGCAACTCCATTCATAGTAGATTCAAGACAATTAAGTATATTTCATTTTATCTGGAGACGTATATTTAATATTCAATGTTTATTCCATTCCATATATATTAGATTCTAGACAATTGAGTATATTTTATTTTAATCTGAGACGTATATTTAATATTCAATGTTTGAATCAATTTACTTATGTCAACTTAGTTTTTAGTTTGAGTAACACTATTAGAATGTCTTTTATTTATGCTCTTAAGTTCTTATAAATATATTTATAATTTAATTGACTCGTAATTATGGATATAACCATGGCAGAATTTAATTCTTTTAAATAATTAATAAAGTAACTTGACCTTTTGAGAAGATCGAAGAACGAGTTATATATTGGTGTTGCCATATATAGTATTTTAATACGTGAAAAGTTATTGGGCTGTCTCGATATTTGTTAAAAATTAATTTAATAAATACAAAAATTCACATTATATATATTTTTGATTCACATTTAGTTTAATCATAGTTTAGTATAAAAATATACTTAGTTAAATAATAAGAGAGTATATTCTTTTAATATAAAACTCATTCAATACAATTTTTATGGATTTTATTTTTTGAAAATATGATTTGCTGTAGCTTTGAACTTTTAAAATGTCTGAATGCCCAATAATATATATCAATATAGGCGTTGCTGCAATGGAGCTATTTTATATAGTTAAAAAAAATATCTATGAAAAATGTACATGTGAAGAGAACGCTATAAGAACAACGTAGTTGAATTTATTAATATAAAATCGTATATTTGATCTATAAGGGCCATGAAATGTAGAATGTCACGGACACTGCAAAATTGGCTCTTTTGGGCTATGACGAAAATACATGTTGTGTAGAGCACGGTTGCCACTTGAAAATTTTTTTCTGTACCAAAATTGGTTTAAAAAGGTACCATTTCTGTAAAAAAAGGTCCAAAATTTTCTATTGTCTTTTTATAAGAAAATACAATTTATATAAAATGTACAAAAAGTATAAAACAATACAATATCCACAATAAAATTGGGTCGCCGAAAATGTACCATTTTTTGAACATGAGTACCAGGGTACCAAACGGAAAAAAAAGTAGCAATTTTGGTACTAAAGTACCATAAGTGGCAAACGTGGGCGGGACTCTTTGTGGACAACTAATCTAAACATGCTATTAAGTCTATCGTTGAAATATTTCGTCCATATACGAATATGTAATTTACTTAGCAAATAAAAATGATTGATTGATTTGAATCTATTTGAGGTGTTCTTTGGCTTTATAAATTTTTATTTCGTTTTCTAAAAATTTGCATAATTAAAATAAAATTAAATCGATATATATTTCATTTGTACAATAATTTGATGGAAATTAGTTTTTCGAAATATTTGGAATATTACTGAAAAATTCCTTGATTATCAAAATGTTATATTTTCAATGCTAATTGCAAAATAGAAAGTATAAGTTTGTTAATGTTTTCCATGCATTATTATTATTATATATCGTAACCACAATATTTGTAATTAAATTACATGTAAATTTATGCATAAATTAGTTTAATTTCCTGCCAACTTAGTTTTATTACCAAAATATTTTGCTTGGGAATTGTTTTTGCCACAGCATCGAATTGAGTTAAATCAAATTTATTTGAATTTTCGTGTTTGTTTGGATTTTTAGAAATTCCGCCAGTGTGGATACAATGAATTTAATCTCGGTACGAGCAGAGTAAACTTTTATTGCATATAAATCTGCCCCCCATATATTTGATAACTCGGTGGCGCCGTTTTCAATAAAGCAATAAAAAAGGAGAGAAATTCTATTTTTATGTTGCTTCCATAAGCATCGGCACCGGCACCGGCACCGGCATTGGTACTGGTACCGGCACGGGTGCGGGCACGACCACACATAGCAATGGAGATAGTTTAGTATGTGCGAATGCCCATGCGAATGCCCATGCGAATGCCCATGAATGCTTGGCTAAGTGAGAGTGAAACTGGGTTTGTTGTGCACGTTTCGGTATGAGAATCTTGCCAAGTTCATATTTTTCTCGCTGCTGAAAGGTTTATTGTCAGAAGTAAACAAATAGAATTATAACTAATCTTGGTACGTATTTTAAATATCTTTTTTCTGCTTTTAATTAGTACGAGAAGCAGTAATGAGCTCAACTCATATGGTATACTTAATAAATTTAAAAGAGTTAAGTCTTTATGATGCCAGCTGTAAACGATGTGTGAGTTATAAAAACATGAGCCGTAAGTGAATTGAAGTGGTGGAAAGGTAACAAAAGCAAGTTACCAGTTTATAAAGAAACAAAAAATGGTATAGACTAGCTTCATTGTTGTTATAAAAATATTAACAGCTATAGAATGGGTATTTAATAAACATAAACGCTGCGGTATTATTTGTTTTATACTTTTTTTTTATTTGACTTTTTTTTCCATGCCTCCAAAGCCATTCCAACCTTAGAAGAAAATGCATGCTATCTTAAGGCACCTTTTAGTGACGTTATATGGTATGTTTTATACCATCTTTCTACTATCTCATTTGGGCAGTTTAGCTCATTAAGGCCGCTAATGCGCATAATTTGCCATAAGATGAATTTTCATATAAAGGAGCTCATTATAAATAAATCAACACTGATTTAAGGTAAAAAATGTCAAATGCAAAACTTAAAAACAAATTTCTCACAAGGGAAATTATGAAAATTTGAACTATTTGTCATATATTTAATATATAAGATGTAAACAAACAAGTTCTTACAGATGCATAAATTAGTTTATGACAAAAGGAAATGAACAAAATGAGCAAATATTTCTACCTGATACACTTAACATAACACTGATCAAAAAACTTAATGACTCTGTTATGTCCAAGTCAGTGAGCAAATTTCTGAAACTGGTTTTATGAATTTTGGAACTATCTATATAGATACTGAAATTATGTCGTTTTGATACTAAGTCATCTTTTTTGGCAGCCTTCATTTTCAGTAGTAAGTTTTTCCTTTTTTACAAAATTCATGGTTAAAAACATGTAGATAGTTGTTGGTAGCAGAAGTCTAGAGATTGTCTTGTCAGATTATTGCTGTAAAAGCTTACCATCTTAACGTTTGGATGATTTGGTCAGAAGAAGTCGTAATTTTCCGAATTGAAGAGCTGAGTTTAAAGAAACATTGAGTTAGTTTGTCGGCAGTGTTTCAGCGAAGTTTGCTATATTATTCTCTGCAAAAAGGTCTTTTAAGGTACCTGTTCAGGAAAGTTTTAACATACGTCACTTGCGTTATTCTAATAGATTCTTAAGCATGAAGAAGCATTGATCTGTAAAATAATCCAACTGATTCGTCACTCATTGAAGTTTGCTATGTTATTCTCTACAAAAAGGCGATTTACGTCACTTGAGTTATTCTAATTGATTCTTAAACATGAAGAAGCATTGATCTGTAAAGTAATCCAACTTATTCGTCACTCATTGAAGTTTGCTATGTTATTCTCTACATATATCTATTGAGAAAAAAAATTTAATAAACTTCATTTGAGTTATTCTAATGGATATTAAAGCACGAAGAAGTATTGATTCGTACGGTGATCTGATTGATCCGTCCCTTAGCGAAGTTTGCTGTGCTATTCTCTGTAAAAAGGTTTAATAAACACTAGTTGAGGTCTTCTAATGGATTCTAAAGCACGAAGAAGCATTGATCCATAAAGCAATCCATCTGATTCGTCACTCATTGAAGTTACCTATGTTATTCTCTGCAAAAAGAGTAATTGAAGGTAGCTATAGAGAGATGTTTCAATAAACGCCATTAGTCTTATGCTAATAGATTTTTAAGCATGATTAAGCGGTGATGCTTAAAGTAATCCATCTTGAGTTATTGTAATTGGTTCTTAAGCATGAAAAAGCAGTGGTCTGTAAAGCAAACTGATTCATCACTCATTAAAGTTTACTGTGCTACTCTCTTGAAAAAAGGTGGTTTGAGTTACCTATCGAGGAAAGTTTCGATAAAGGTCAATTGAGTTATGCTAATAGATTCTAAAGCACGAAGAAGCGTATATCCGTAAATGGTTTTACAAATGTTATGTACCGAAAGCTTATTTCTTTGCTTGCATATAAAATATTGGTATATGATAGAAGCAGTTAATTAAGTTTAATGTTCTTCTCTTAGTTTGAAAGAAATTCTTCACAAAATGGATATTAATTCTACTGCATCTCTTCAAATTGTTGAGAAAATTCATTTGCCACTTTAGTTAAATAAAATATAATTAATGCTTTTTATAACTTTTAGAAGAGGAATTACTTTGGCGAGCAATATATAAAATATTTTTTTAGAAAGTATGCAATACAAATCCATTATGTATAAATTACCATGTATAAATTTAAATTTCACCAAATGTTGCACAATTTTTAAGGACACTAGAAACTCATCCATCCGTTATTAGAAATTTTGAAATTTTGAAATTTCTTCAAAAAAAAACTTGTATAAATTTATGCAAAATATTCAACAAAAATGAAAACTGCACTCAAATGCAATAAAATGTGACCTTTTCAATAAAAATGCAACTTCAAAGGAATCATTCGAAGTCAAAGTTTCCATTGCGTGCTGCTAGACTGACGTCCCGTCCTGTTGCATGGAAATTGTTGCATTTTCCGACATTGAACGGTGAGTTTGTGCTGGAGATTGTAAATTTAATATTTCAAAGTTCAATTTGAAATAGTTTTTTAGTTTTTCTATGGAAAACAGAAAAAAAGAAACAATTTTATTTTTATTGTCATTTTCATTTTCATTTTCATTATCCTTTTCCTTTTTCCTAAGCTCCTTTGTTTGGTTCCTAACAACAAATCAAATTCCATTATTAGTTATTTATGCATGCAAACGACATTGATGGCTACAAATGTGGCTTTTCAGCATTTATTAGAATTTCTAACAAATACTGTTTTGTATATATCCTATATGCTATATCATATATCCTTTCTGTATTTCGTATTTTGTATTTTGTATTTCGTGGTAAATTTAGAAATGCATTTTGATTTAAAAGAAAATTGCCTTTTTAATTTTTTTTCACATCAACTGAGATTTGTAATCATCTTTATGTAATAACACAAAGTCAGTTACTCTTCCTCGAACTCGTTTGATATGCAAACAGTACGAGTATGAAAGGACATATGAGACTATGAGGAATATGTACGAATAGTTTGAAAAGGACATCATAGTACAAGGAATTCTTATGTTAATAAAAGAGTTGAAGGAATAAAATGATGAACACAAATGAAGGTCAAATGTCATTTCTTCAATGTAAGCAATTTTTGTTGCGGAGCTTCGTAGGAGATAGAGAGATATACAATGTTTCTCAGTATTAATAAGCTTTAACTTCATTTTATTGCTTCTCAAAAATGCTATCTATTATACTATTTTGTAGATTTAAAGATTAAAAAGATTCATTTCATTTTTATACCACTTTAAAAAGTTGTATTTTTTATTTCTGTTCTATTAAATAAAAATTTAAATCGGTTTTAGTCTTTTAGTGCTGAACAGATATGTCATGTTGTCACATATAACTGTATTATATATAAATATTGTAATGTTTATTATAGAGTAATAAAAAAAAATTGTTCTCATATCTCATCATGTGTGAGAAAGTGAGTTAATACATCACTTTAAACTTTAACACATGATGAGATAGTAAATTATTATCATCTAGAACAGGGTTGTCAAGACTAGATGCGTTCATGGGCCAATACGAATCACTGTACAGATTGGAGGGCCGCAGATACAAATACATACGTTTATAGTTATTTTCGACAAAAATAAAAATACGGCTTTAATGTTAAATTTAGTTTTGTTAATATATCAATATAAATTCATTTATTTGGTATACCATAAAAATAAAATAATGTGGTTTTAGCAGTACAGCAATCAGTACAGAAAATTTGCGTAATTATAGTAGAATAGAAACATGTCACGGACCGTACTTTAGACAGCCCTGATCCAGAACATGGCTGTTCAAAGCAGGGCCCACGGGTCTCAAAATAGAAGCCGCGGTTAATAACATATATGTGCGGACCGCGACATGTTTTTAATCTACCACAATTACATTATCACATTATCTGATTTTTATAGTACCTCAAATAAATGAATTAATATGTTTTAAATAATTTATCACACTTTACGTTAATTTACTTAATTGACAAAGACTTTTTGGTATATATTCTTGGTACAATATTATTTTAACATTACATTAAAAATTAAATATTTTTTATGTGGTCACAACTTATATTAAATAGTGATAGATTTGTAAAAGAGAAATTAATGAGGAAATAATAAAACAAAATTTATTATTACCACCGTACTTTTATTTCTCTCTGGAAAAATTATGAACGTATGTATTTACTTCTACGGCCCTTCAAGGTATTCAGTGATGTGTAGATTTTATATTCGAATATTCTGAAATAAAGTTCCGGTCTTATTAAAAGAGTTAAAGCAATCTTGTCGTTAGTTTATCAGCTATTTTTTTATCAAATACATTAAACTAAGTAGTATAGTTCAGAGGAGTGTAAATTTATTTTCTCTTATCAACCAACACAGATTTGAGATTTTTGCAGCTGTAGACCAACCTAAAATTGGTACTGCGGGACTTTGTGACTTGTGGAACTTTGACACATACCATGTGAAGATTACCACTAACTGAAAATTTTAGTGGCGCCATCCTTTTATTATCTGAAGAGACTATTCAGTGATGTAATATTTGAAGTACAGATTTTTAGATATTTCTTTAAACAAATTTTATGTTTTCAATGTGTATTAATGCCTATTATTAATTAGATCCTTTTTGTGTGACTATCCATTAAAAACTTTAACAAATTATTAATCCATTAAATATGTTATCGAAGTCGAAGCAATGTAATTTTTATTGTTAAAAATTTATTGCTTAATAATAAAAATAGATTGCAAATAAACAACACAAAAAGAAAATGTTAGAAAAGCATTCTTATTTTATTTTCATTATTTTATCCTTAATTCATGTCCTTTTAATTGACGTTAAATGCTTTTTCATGCCAATTACTCGTATTTTCCTCTTTCAAATTCCTTTAACCACAAATTGGCGTTCGTTAATATGTCAGTCAAATGTTGTGTTATGTTGAAGGCCTAATTTAAGTATCTAAGCAAATGTCGTAAATGACAAACAATTACAGATATATACGCTCAATAATCTATCCTCGAAAAGTGATTAATGCCTATAGCGCCCACAAAAATCCTTAAGAGCTTGTCAAAGTGCAATAAATTACAGTAAACAAAATAAAAATAAATTAAAACAAGGAAGGACGGTTGTAGATGAAATGTGGAATGATAAAATAAGAGTGAAATTTTGAAGGATATATATATATATATATATATATATATATATATATATATAATATATATATATATTAATCATGAGAATTAATGTTACTTTAAAAGTTTTAAAATTCTTATTATATCGTTAGGTCCGCCATCTACTTATGACTTCTGTATGATACTTAAGAAACTTAAGAAACTTAAGAAACGTTTCCTGATGGTATTTTCATTTGTGTCGAGGGGCTGATAGCTTTCATATATCAATTAATTAAAATATTATGTAGAAATGAAAAAGTGATAATTAATAGTATTAACAATAATATTGATACTATTAATATTGTTAATAATAATATTGATAGTATTGACATTATTAATATTGATAGTATTAATTTTATTATTAATAAAATTAATAATATTAATAATAAAATTAATAATATTAATAATAATAATATTAATTAATAATTAATATTAATAATAATATTAATAATATAATAATAGTAAGTATTAATATTATTACTAAAAAAATTAATAATATTAATAGAATTTAATAATAATTACTTTAATTAAGAAATTTTACTCATATAGCATGTTTTCACTGTTTACTTGGTAAGTTACTTAAGTAACTTTAAGATTCTTCGTTTCCATTGACATAAGTTATTTATTGCATGTGAAAGCGTTTTTCTGTTAGAATGTTCTTCTAAAATTAAAAGAGAGTCACTGTTTGTTTAAATAAACTTCACTTAATAATAATTATATTATATATATAATATACTTATATTATTAAAAATTTATAATATATTATTATATTATGTTATATATACTTATTAATAAGTAAATATTATATTAAATCATATAAACATATATTTTATATATCCATTACATATTTAATTAATAAACAATAATAAACAAAGATTTTATTAAATACTTGTTTTCAGTGCTTTGTTTACAGCTCAGCTGTTGTTTGTTTACATCTTACATATAAAACATATGACGTATATTTAAAATTTTGGTTATTTCTCTTGTGGGAAATTTATTTTTAATAGCTGCATTCAACATTTTTGGTCTAATTTTACTTACTTTATTTGTAAGTAAGTTAAAAAGCACGAAAGCTCTTCATAGTAAGTTGCATATACCAAGTTAGCAGTGGAAACATACTATTAGCTCAGTGAGCGGACATAATGATTTCGAGCAGTTGGGGTACGTATTCGAACTTTTAAGTCGAATATATTCGAGTTGAAGTTTCCCTTAACTTGTATGATAATACTGTACGACAGAAATGCACTTGTTTTTTTCTTTTTTGTTTTTTCAACTATTTTGGATTTATTTGGGTCTGCTGAACTTAAATTTTTAATCCGGTTCTTACATAGGGTGCATATTTGATTCTCTGGTAATACGAATTAAAGTGCAGATATTTATGTGAAGAGATTTAAGTTTCATATAATCAGTTTATTTATGACGAATAAATGGATAAATAACTTTGTCCTTACTAACTTTCATTTCTTCCTTCTTAAGAAGGAATATTTCTTAAAATCAACCAATAGAAAAAACTTTTTTTAAGAAATATATGGAAAGGCGTGGAATTTGCGAAAAGATGTCTAAGGCAAAAATGTTTATATATTTATTTGTAGCAAGTTTATCGAATATACAAAATTTGTATCTCTCAAAAGAAGAATTGTTTATAAACCCTTATTATTATTATTATTGTTTGTTATTACCGTCGGGTCTATTGTGCCCCTTTCTGGGTTTAGAGTAGGTCGAGAACCCACAGAGACTGGATCTGGGAGAAGGACAAAAACAAGTTGCTGATTTCAGTTCAAAAGTCTCAGATTTTGTAGAATTAAAAAAGAGAATTTAGTGTTGTACAGTGTAATTGAAGTTCTACTTTATAAGCAGTAGCGTACATGTAACAATTTTTATTCCTTCTGTAGGGTACTGCGTGACTATTTTGATTCCTTCTGTAGGGTACTGCGTGACCACTTCAGTTCAGTACTTATTATTGTGAGCTTCATTGTAACATTTTAATTAATGCCTTTGCTATTATCCTTCATGGCACACATAAATTGTTGGCTATTATTGCAAAATCATATTTAATGCCACATTTAAGTTGCACAATATTTGTTGTACTAACTGTGGTTGTTGCCTTTGTAATTATTGTTGTTATTGTTTTCATTGCTGTTTTGTACATCTTAAAACTTTGAGTGGCCGACAATGTATTTTTTATATGTCACTTTTGTAGCTGGTCTTATATGCGGCGCCGTACTGGCCATTAGCATTTGTATCCGCGCATTATTGTAGTTGCTTTCTCCACTGAACTGAAATGCACTAAACTATTGATTGTTGGAACCTTCCTCTTGCTGCTTTTACATTAAATAATTTGCCAATGGTGACTTTAGTAGTTTTGTTTTATTTTAAGTTTTTTGTGTTTTTTTTTATTTTTTGGCTGTTAGGCTAATAGATTTTTTATAGTAAAGTTTTAGCTACAAGGACAAAATTTTTAATTTCTTAAGATATCCAAATTTATTCTATACACAAACTTTATACATTTATTTACATTTTAATTAAACATTCAATTTTTTTTTTGCAGCTGAGGCGATAAGATGTCATGAGTGTAACTCTCATCTCGAAGAGGATTGTACCAGTTTGAGTTTGAGTACCCCACATGGTGGCCGGGATAACACTTACCTTAGAGAGTGTACATTGCAGGGTGCTGAAGATGCTTTTTGCCGTAAAACTGTTACGACAATCGAAGCAACAGGTGAGAAACGTGTTGTGCGCAGCTGCGGTTGGATTAAGGACAATCCAAACATTGTTCAGGCCAATAGCTGTTTCAATGCCGACAACGAAGGATATTTACAAACTATCTGTACCTGTGATAATGATGGGTGTAATGCTGCACCCAGTCTCTTCACTTTTAGTAAACATAGTATCTTTATGGTAGCTTTAACGAGCCTGTCACTTTTGTTTGCAACTATTCAACGACGAAGCGGTTGAGTTGTAGGTTCTATTCTAAGGATCTATTTTTAAGACCATATATATTAAATACTTTTAACAATAACAAATAAGATTATTATTGATAATTCTTTAAAACGCAACATTTTCTATTTTAAATTTAAAAAGTCTTCAGTTAATGTTTAAAAAAATTTTTTGTTAAAAATAAACAAGCAAATTTGTTTCGTTAAGTTTAAGTTTAATTAAATATTAAGTATGCAATAAAAAGTTTTTTTAAATAAATCTTACCTAAAAATATGCTGTAATAATATTTGAAATATTTACTGGTTAGAATGCAGATTATACTTAAATATTTTTATATAAATTTTTTTAAAAAGTTTGAATTTATTCTATATTTTTTTAAAAAATCAAAATAAATAAAATTAAATAAAACATTTTAAACAAGCGTTTAATATTACTTTTGTTATTTTATTTTTACTTTTATTTTTATTTTTTTTTTTTATTTATTTTATTTTTATTTTATTTATTATTTTAATGTTTATTTAACACATAAGTAATAAAAAAATTTAAAAAAAAATTACATTTTTTAATTTGTGTTAAATATTTTTGACTATATTTAAATCTTTATACAAAATATTTATAAAATCATGCAACAAATAATGCCCCTACAAACAGAATAGTATTGAAATTAAGCAATTAAAAATAAATATAATTAATTAATTTAATTATTATACAGCTAGTTAATGATTTCGTTTTAATTTAAACACAGCAAACAAGTTTGTTAATAAAATTTTCACAGCAAATTAACAAAACTTAAGAAAAATGTGCAAACATAGAAGTCAATTACGGTTTTTGTTCAGTTGGTTAAGGAGCGCTGACTCTAAGCTTCAAATTTGGTAGGGCACGAGTTCGTTTCCTCGTACTTGCAGTCTTAAAAATTTATTTACGAATAATTAAATACAAAAATTATTTGTAAAACCACTGATGTATGGCCAGCTAAAAATTCAATTAATTAAAATAATATAAAAAAGAATTTTTGTTATTGTAGTTCACTATTTTTCGAAAAAACCTTTTTATTAATTATTTTATTATTAAATTTTATTCACAAAATTTTTAAATAATTAAAAATTATTTCTTACAAATTAAAAATAATAATATACAAAATACGATTACGGTTAGTTTCTACGAAACATACTTAAATAGAATTGAATTAATTAGTTTCTGTTTGAAGTTTTCTAAAGTAAAACCAATTCTTGTAGAGCATTTTCGAAATGGAATAAAAACCATAACCATTTTCTCCACAAAGACTAAAAACACTTAAAAATTTAATATAGTAACACGTTTTTGTTGCATTACTGCTCCCATTTCACCTTATACACCCGAAGGGAATATGCCACTTTGTACCAAGTATCTCGAGTATCTCGAGTATCTTTGGTGTTTATGGTTTAATACTTAGTTTCGTCGTCAGAGTTATCAGACAGACACAAATTGCATTTTTATGAGCTCTGCGGCATAAACTCGAGCACAAATACCGACTGCAAATTTCTTAACAGGATTTGGCATTATAAATGGTTTTCTGGGTTTTTTCCACTGGTTTTTGTGTAAATTGAATGGCGCAGGATGAAATTGAGAAGTGCACAAAAAGTGAAATAAGTGTGAAGCCTTTTAAGAAAAACTATTAGAAGTGTGAGTGAATAAATACACACGACTTTAAAATTATTATAATTGAAAATATGAAAAAAAAATTATATAAAAAACTTTATATAAAATAAATAGTTGTGCCCTTTACCCTACTTAACGTGTGAAATATAAAGTACCAAGTGACTTAAATAATTTATCAAAATTTATTTATTTTAGTTTACAACAACTGAGACTACGGTATATATAAATTTTCAGTTAACAAAATAGCTATATATACTTATAGCTTTAAAATTATTTAAAATTTAAATAGATAAAAAAAAAATTAGGATTGACGATAAGTGACGATTTAAATTAAAACTAATTAATAAATAATTATTCCTTATAAATATCTTATATGCAAGATTTACTTACTTTGTCATTTTAGATATATATTTTTTATTTATTTTTTTTAATAAGTTCAACAACTTAATTTTTTTATAAAGTCAAATTTTGAGGTCATAATGTATACTTATATATATATATACATATATACATATATATCATATAATATATGATATTTAGAAAGCTATTTTTTCAGAGTATAGAAATTATTGAAATTTCTAATTAATTTTTTTTATCAATTTTATGTCTTATGAAAGGAATCCATGTTGAATAGAACAGAATAGAGGTAATAAGGGGGATATTATAAAAAAGACAATAAAAAAAAATTTAGTTAATTTATTGAAGTTTGGCTGATTCTCATACACGTTACATGTTTACATATATTTAGTTCAGTTCCACATAGAATATAACTGAGTTTTATGTTTAATGACATACTTCTAAAATATAGGCATATATATCGCTTTGCAATTAAAATAAAGAACTTATGATTTATTACCTTATGTTTTGCTGAAACTTTTGTCAAAGTGCTTTGAATAAACACACATAGCCTTCTTAGACTTTTTAGACCTTACAATGCCACTATTTTGATTAAAAGTTTGCGAATTCATTAGAAGGAGTTATTTGAATTCCATACTATGAAAATAATTGAAAATTCTTACTAATTTTCATATATGTAAATATAATTCCACTAAATAATCCAAATTAATATTATAGTTCTCATTTACTTCACATACTTTATGTTTCTTATAATATATTTCTTTCGGGTATACGTAAGTGATTAAATTCTTCGTTTAATAATATTTTTCTACAAAAACTGCATGTACCATTTATATTTCGCATAGCATCTTAAAAATAATAATTTATGATGATCCATTTATAAATAAATTATAATTAAATGATTCCAATTAATTGAGTTTAATTGAGTTTTTTATATAATAAGACACTTTAGAAACTAAATTATATTTCTAAAGTTTATTATTTTTACTGAAAGATGTACTTTTTATGGCGACAAAGAAGAAATTTTTTTAAAGTTAGAAGTGGTTAAATGGAAAATGAACGACAAGAACAAAAATTTAGTTAATTTATGGAAATTTGGCTGACCATATAACGCTGTTTCGAGTGTTGCCAAGTACTCATCATCAGTGGTGTTAGGAAATATACGATTTTTTTTTTTAAATTAGTTTATAGTCCGTATATAATTTATTGAACTGCAAATGCCATTCTTAGTGCTATTCTTAGAACTCATAAATACATTTTCATTAATAAATATTAACAATAAACATTTTTAATAAATAATATTTTTTTTTGAACAATTCTCCCTTCTTGTAATCCCGGCCACACCATTTTTTATAAGAAAATATAAAAAGAAAAAAATAATTGAATGCCAATCACAGCTTTTACTATTTCTGATATAAAACCATTACGACAGAACTTTTTTTTAATTAAAAACAAAAAATAATAACATATATAAATAATATATGTTATGTGCAAAACAAATCATTTTACAATTGGAAATCGCATCAGATCAGTTATGAGTCAAAACCAAATACGTTTTAAATTTGCGGCTTGTCATCCCGTATTTATGGAAAACACTTATTGCAATTATGCTTTAAGCATAAATTTATTATTGCATGGAAGAGAGAATATTTATTTACGATATTGCCTGAAACCTTAATATCGTCTGTGTGTTGTTGTAATCAACCGCATTAATATTGCGTTAATGAGTTTATGAAAAAAAGGAAAATGAAAATGAAAGAAAGGCATGAGAGGCAGTCGTTGCACATCGCCTTGAAAACAATGTATGGAAACCGGAGTTTTAATTGATATTAACAAAAGTATTTGTGTTATGAATTTTATTAAAAATTAAAATTTAATAAAACATTAGTTGATTTATTAAAAAATAATTTTTAAGTATTATGAATGCAACGATAAACACTGTGCGCTCTCGTAAGTGAAAAAAGTTTCAAAGTGAAAGAAACACCTTGACGCCATGTTGAAATGTAAATGAATTCGCAAAAAAAGTTCTACGTTTTTTAAATAAAATTAGTCAATCGTGCTAGTGCTGTTTTTTGTGAAGTGTGTACATAAATTAAATACATATTTATTGATGTCTTCAAACATGGTGAAAATAATTATATACATATGTATTATAACAGTAAGTTTTGAAGTAATAAACAACAGAAGCGTTTGACTCTGTTCACTTATCTTGACCAAAGCAGATTTTGCGGCGGCGCAGTTACGGTTGTTTTCTTTATGTTTTATGTTTCAATTTAAGGTTCTTCTTCTTCATTCCATTGCGTTCCCAGCGGAACATTGGGCCACAACTTAAGGTTAGTTATAATATATTTTCTAATTAACATTTATTTAATATATAATAGATTCCAAAAAACAGCTATTTTTTAAATTTATTATGTATAACTTTTTTTATAAAAATTCACTCATTTGATATTTGTTGATATTGTCTTAACTGCGTGTCAGCATTATAAATACATTTTGCAGATCATTATACATAAGAAAGTTTAAGCAAAACATTTAAAGCTCATATTCTGCATTTGAATGGAACTTGTGATTGCATTAAAATACGTTGAAATTTACCCAAAAGCTCGAATATAAAGAGCTTTATAGCTTGTGTAGCGCGATTATGATTTTTTTTTGGTTAATACGCCATAAAAAAATGCTGCGTAAATTGAATGTTTCAAATAACATGATTATTTTTTTTTGCTTTTGCTTTTCGTCTTTATGTGCACATAAATTCTTAAGCTTTTGCTATTTATATTTCTCTTTGGTTACTTAAATCTCCAGTTCCCCAGTATTTTTTATATTTGAAATAATCACTAGTAATTTTTACAAGTCATATAAAAATATATATATATTTTACATTATATATTGCGATTACTGGTACTTCCAGTCCCAAAGAATTATTTACAAATAATTAAATACAAGAATTATTTCTAAGACCACTGATGGTGGGTATTTGGTAATACTCGAAACGTAATACTCAGCCAAAATTTCTATTAATTAAAATAATATTAAAAATTAATTTTTGTTTTTGTAGTTCACTACTTTTCGAAAACCTCTTTATTATATATTTTAGAATATAAAATTAGTCTTAAGTACATAACCATAA